GGACAAAGAGAAAATCCCTGCTATGTTGCTAGCCTCTCATCCTAAGAAAGGAGGGAAAAGTGGGGAGTGAGGCCCTTGCAGCTGTCCCTCAGAGACAGTGAGGGACAGAGCGCCCTTGTCTCAAAACCTCTGGTCTGGCTAAATCTCTTTCAGTCACCAATTTTCTCAAATCCACAGGACACTCCCCTTCAAGCCTCTGATGGTTCTCTGCTTGAGAACCTCCAGCCACCACTGCCAACCAGCCTGACCCTGGAGGGGCCTCGGGATGCCTGCTGCATCCTCTGCCCTGCCATGGACAGCAGAGCAAGCTCCTGCCCTGAGCTAATTTGGTCCATATGGAGTAATGGGCCCAGGCAGTCACCTCACCATCTCCCACGCCAGTCTATGTGTGAGACCTACTCTCCACCTGGCTCCCCAGCCTGCACGCCCACCCGAGGCTTGCCCTTCCTCTCCCTGTGTTCTCGGTCCCCTCCCAGGCAGCCCAGACACATATCAGAGGGTGAGGTCCCCACTTGACTGACTCACTTCTTTCTTCTCCCCTTCCAGCTGCTCCCTCAGCTGCTGCAGAGCCTTCTCCTTAGCAGCGTTCAGGGCAGCCTGTTCGCTCTTCTCCGAAGCCTCCATCTCTTCCTTGAGCTGCTCCAGCGTTTGCCTATTTTTCTGTTCCAAGCTGGCCCTCTCAGCCTTCTGTTGAGACTCCAACTCTTCTCTCAGTTTCTGCAGGGAAGCCTCTTGCTCAGCCCTGGATGGACAGAGTAGGTTGGGAACGGCCCTGTGCACCCTGGGGTCACCTCCGCGAAGCTGGGCAGCTCACAGGTAAGCACGCACTTACCTGATTTGGTCCTCATCTGCTTGTGTGCTGGACTGGATCTGGGCTCGGAGCCAGGATAGCCTCTGGCTTTCCTTCTCTCTCATCCGGGCCTCCTCCTCCTCACTGGCTTTCTGCAGTCGCTCCCTCAAGGAACTGAGATGGAAAGGAAAGGGGAGGTTGTCAGAGAAACCACAAAGGTCTTTATTCTATTCACAGGCTGTGGTTGTCAGTCTCCAACAGCCCTGTTGCCTGCCTAAGAAACTTTCTAAATCTTTTTTTATTTTTTTTCCTGTTTGGAGACAGGTTCTTGCTCTGTTGTCCAGGCTGGAATGCAAGTGGTGTGATCACGGCTTACTGCAGCCTTAAACTCCTGGGCTTAAGCAACCCTCTCGCCTCAGCATCCCATGTAGTTGGGACCACAGGCATACACCATCAAACCCAGCTAATTGTTGAGATGGAGTCTCGCTATGTTGTCCAGGCTGGTCTCGAACTCCTGGGCTCAAGTGATCCTTTGGCCTCAGCCTCCCAAAGCACTCAGATTATAGGCGTAAGCCACTGCGCCCAGTCAAAGTTTCCTAAAGATGAGTCTAACCTCAGTCTCTGGGTCTACAGCTGCCTCCCATAATACCTTCCAGGATAACAAGGGAACCATGAACTCCCCTTTGCTTCAAGAAGCAAACTACTGGTCAGGCATGGTGGCTCACGCCTATAATCCCAGCACTTTGGGAGGCCGAGGCAGGTGGATCACTTGAGGTCAGGAGTTTGAGACCAGCCTGGCCATAATGGTGAAACCCCATCTCTACTAAAAATACAAAAATTAGCCGGGCATGGTGGCACACTCCTGTAGTCCCAGCTACTTGGGAGCTGAGACAGGAGAATTGCTGGAACCTGGGATGCAGAGGTTGCAGTGAGCTGAGATTGCACCACAGCACTCCAACCTGGGCAACAGAGCAAGACTCAATCTCAAA